CCAGAATTCCTCAGCCAGCTTTGCTGGCTGAGGAATTCTGGGAGTTGAAGTCCACAAGTCTTAAAGTTGCCAAGGTTGGACACCCCTGATGTAGAATATTATCAAATATGGAATCTATTTTACAATGGTTGGAAAAACGGGGTGGAGCTTAAGAATTTAAATTTGAACTGTTAAGCAAATTAAATACCCAGACAACACGATGTTTATTAAGCACTAAGAAATGTATTTAATAGAAAATCAATTTTTTTAAAAAAGAAAGCATAAGGACCTGAAGCTCTCTTGATGTTACAAATCTCAACCTATCCAGCCGGGGCATCAGATTTGGTGCCAACAGACATTCTGAGAACACACAAAGATTTCTAGCTTCTTCCACCACCACCAACCCCCATTGAAAAACAACCCGGTACTACCTGGAAATAATTGAGTTCTTCATCACTTAGGATCTGGTTGTTGTCCTGATCAGACATGGTGAAAATGCGAGTGAGAGCTTGGGCACACGCCGGCCGTAACTGAAAAGGATAGAAGCAAAAACAAAGAGGTGTGACTTTAAAGAGAGGGAATATGAAGTAGATGCTGATACACTCAGTTTCGTTTTTCTTTAATGAAATCCACTCACCAGTAAGCTTGTCTAAGGTAGGGGTCGCCAACCTTTTGGACCTCAGGGACCAACAAACTCATCATTTTAAATCCCGCTTGGACCACTGATATGAATTTTGACTGGCGGTGGCTTGCTGACGTTGGTGGGAAAGTCGGTCCCATATTCCAGAGCTGCAGGAGTCACAGGACCGGCCCTTCGGTCACCCTGGAGTAGCTGCTCCTCCACCCGGGTGCACCGGCCTGCCATGGACTGGAGTAGCGGCTCCGGGATGAGCGAAGGGCCAGTCCTGTGACTACTGCAGCCCTGGAATATGGGCCCGACTTTCCTACCAATGTCAGCAAGCCATTCCCAGGGTGGATTTCCCTCCCCCGCCATTGGTCTTACCTTCCAGTTCCAGCTCCTGTGACACCACTCAAGGTAAGTTTTGCACTTGGCCGAAGGGTGGCGGCCAGCAGGTGGGAGGGCCATGTGGGCAGTGCAACCTACGCAGCCTGGATTCACTGCTTTTTGGGGGGGACATTTCTGTGCGGACCACCAATATTTTCTCACGGCCCACCAGTGGTCCCCGGCCCACCAGTTGGTGACCGCTGGTCTAAGGGATTCCAGGCCTGCCTGCTTTACTATAATTGCAACATTATGATGCGGATGTTTACCTGTTTCTCCTCCGGGTCATAGAGAGGAGCAGTTGGGTGAAGAACAGCTTTCTGGGCATAGTAGAAGAGCTCCGAAATGTTTTTCAGGTTCTTTGCCGAACACTGGTGTGTAGAAAAAGGCAGAGAGAAGCTGATTCAGAGACCAGGAAGTGTCCATCAGTACATAAAACAGACATACTGAAACGCCACTCAAAGTTCTCATTCTGAAGAGGGCTAGGAAAACAGGCACAAATTACAAGACTAAAAGTGAAGCGTCTTTTCTTCCAATGCTCACTGATTTTTTTTTTTGATGTGGTGTCATCAGGAAGGAGAACAAAGCTGAGAAGTTGGTGGTCTAAATTTGGGATCTTCCGGATGCAAAATATTTGCTGCCACTAGAACTTCTACTTCAACTCTGGTGAAGCAGAGTTCCTCAAACTTTCTGGCCCAGTGGGGTGTGTGAGAAGGGTTGGTTTTCCACGCAGCTCCTTTTGCACAAGCGTTGGGCACGCACGCCTGCCACTCACACAAATGGAAGCGCAACGTGCCCGTCCTTGCCTGCCACTTCCGTGGCCCAGTTCCGGCAGGTAGGGTGTATGACAAATCGCCACGGCCAACTCACCGTGGCCAACTCGCCACAGCCAACTTGCTGCAGGACAACTCGGCACGGGACAAGAGTTAACACTAATATCAAAGAAAGGGTGGAATAAAACCATTCAAGAAAGGATGCCAAAGGAGGGATGGAATGAAGTGTGAATGGCAAAAATGAAAACAATTTGTATTTATTTTAAATAATTAAATTTGTTGTTGTTAGTTGCGAAGTCATGTCCGACCTATTGTAACCCCATGGACAATGTTCCCCCAGGCCTTCTTGTCCTCTACCATCCTCCAGAGTCCATTTAAGCTCACGCCGACTGCTTCTGGGACTCCATCCTGCCTCCTCCTTCTCTGCTGTCCTTTTTCTTCTTCTTCTTTTGCCCTCCATCGTTCCCGGCATTCGGCTCTTCTCCAGCGAGTCCTTCTTCCTTCTCATGAGGTGGCCAAAGTCTTTGAGTTTCATCTTCAGGATCTGGCCTTCTAAAGAGCAGTCAGGGTTGATCTCCTCTAGGACTGACCGGTTGGATCGCCTTGCAGTCCAAGGGACTCGCCGGACTCTCCTCCAGCCCCAGAGTTCAAAGGCCTCCATTCTTTGGCGCTCAGCCTTCCTTATGGTCCCACGTTCACAGCCACGCATTGCCGCTGGGAAAAACCATAGCCTCGAACTGTTCACACTTTCGTTGGCAGGGGGAATAATTCAATAGAATTGTTACATTGTCCTGCAGCGAGCTGTCCCCAAGGCAAGTTGGCCATGGTGGAGTTGGCTGAAGCAACTGGGCCCCCGGTAGTGGGCCATGGCTCAGGGCAGGGATCGGCAACCTTAAACACTCAAAGAGCCACAAAGGTCGTAACTGGAAGCCTGTCCCCTGTTCAGTTCTGGAGTCGACCGGAAGTCTGGTTCTCCCACCATAGAGTTCTCCTCCTAGCAAGCCGTGCTTCTCCACCCCCACCCCAAACGGAAGTTCCTCTCAAAATGGTGACACCGACTGGCGACAGGGAGCCACAGCAGAGGGATGAAAGAACCCCATGTGGCTCCGGAGCTGCAGGTTGCCGACTGCCGGCCCAGGGGGTTGGGGACCCCTGTCGTATAGGAGTTTTTCTTCACCCCAACCAAAGGTATGTTCTATTTCCCTGCCAACCTCCGGACAGTTCCTCACCTCCACGCAGGTCTCGATCTCCGAGAACTGGTTCATGATGGGCAGGATGGTTTCCATGGAGGTCCCGGTGTGCAGGTCGGACTTGTTTCCCACCAGAATGATGGGAATCCTTGAAGAGAAGAAACATTTTGGAGAGACTTATCAAGGGGGAGGAGAGAGGCTGTAGTTACAAGGACCAGAAAAGGGGTGGGGGGTGGAACGGCAGGGGGAGAAAGGATCTGTTTTTGTTTTAATATCAGGATATTCATGAACTGGCAGAGACATGGGTAACAAGGCCAGCCAACTGGGGGCGGTGGGTGGGAGGGGGGGCTGAGATTGGAAATTGTCTGGGCGTGGCTTCGCTCTGTGCTCCCAGCTCTAAACTGAAACTGAACTCTGAAGCTGCTGCTTGTGTTTTGCTTGTAACCTTTACCACACTGAAAGAATCTACTACTGGTATTGTAAACTTTATGTGTTATTATGTATATAAAGAAGTTAACGAATCCTGCTGAATCAGTCATCTGTGTGTGCTTTCTGGAGTTGCATTTCTGCTGTAAAAATCTAACGTTTAGCACATGGCATATAGTCAGGGAGCTCTACAATGCTTTTTAACCACACGGTACTCTAATTCCTTGACTTACAGCCACTCCTTTAGTGACCCTTCAAAGTTACAACAGCACTGAAAAAGGTGACTTATAAGCGTTTTTTCACAATTTCGACTGCTGCAGGACCCCTCCCTCCCGGTCACATGATCAAAATTTGCAGGCTTGGCAACTGGCTCATATTTATGATGGTTGCAGGGTCCCTGGGTCACGTGATCGTCTTTTGCGATTTTCTCACAAAGACAATGGAGAAGCCAGATTCACTTAATAACTGCAGTGAATCACTTAGCAACGATGGCAAAAAAGGTAGTAAAACGGGGGAGGGGGAAAAATCACTTAACTGTCTCACTTAGCAACGGAAATTTTGGGCTCAATGGTGGTCGGTAAGTCGAGAACTACCTGTAGTTCGGGCAGCCTAAGATTGCTAGTTCATTTCGTTCACGCATGCACGCTACCCGGAGTACACCACGGAGGGTGAACTAGCTTTGCACCAGGTGGCTAGCAACGTTTGGGGGATGCCTGTGTTGTGGTTTGTCGGCAGCGGAATCGGACAGTGGGGAAGAACGGAGACCAGTCCGGGAGTCTGGAGAGGACTCGGATGAGGGTCCTGTGTCCAATGCAGAGATGGAGCCAGGACCATCTGGGAGTGGGGTGCTGCCTCCTGAGCCTCTGGAGTCTGGCAGCAGCGAGGCAGAGGACCCAGGGGAGCCTGTTCCCAGTGCGTGTGTGCGCAGAGCTGCTAGAAGGCGAGAGCAGCTGAGACAAAAGGGGCGACTCAGGGAGTAAGGCTGGGAGGTGATTGCCCCTCCCATAAGGGATAAAAGTCAGGCCAAGATGACGAAACCTTTGCAGGAAGCAAAGTCGTTCGATCGGTTCAGAGTCATCCTTGAAGCTCTTTGTACTCTGGTTGGGTTTTTTTTTGTACTTTGGTTGATTTCTTTTCTAGTTCATTTGATACTTCTGTTTTTTGGCAGCACTGCACAGAACTAAAAGGTGTGTGCTTATCTTGGGGGGGACTGTTTGAGATTAATTCCAGCTGAGAATGAAAACAAGTCCCAGCGTTGCAATAAAATAAGTCTTGCTTTTAAAACAAGTTTGTGCGTGATTACGGTTTACGAAGCCTGTGTCGGGACAGCCTGACCCTGCTTTCTCCCACCAAGCCTAGCCTCGCATCCAGGCAGCAGCAGCTTCTGTATGGAACGCCGGCAGTTTTTCCCACCGGGGTGGCACCTATTCATCTACTTGCATGTTTACGTGCTTTCGAACTGCTAGGCGGGCAGGAGCTAGGGGCAAATGACAGGAGCTCGCTCCATCACGTTGTGCCATAGGCTCGAACCGCCGGAGGGCCAACCATCTCTGGCTGGCAGATCCAGCATCCTTAAAGAGCCACTGCGCCACTGTGCTGCCCCCCTAAAGGGAGTTATTAACAGAGACCCTTGAGAGCCAAAGCACCCCAACCACCCTGTAGGACACTAGATACCTGGCACATCTCTCAATGCCACCATTCACCATTGGAATCCATTTTGTCCGAATCTGGGGAAACAAGGAGGGGAAAAACAAGTGGGCAGGAGAATCTCTGCACCCTTAACTCATTCCCCAATTTTTAAGAAATAAGCCCTTGAGAAGACGCCCAAGGCCAACCACGCCATCGTCTCCCCCACCCCAAACAGCTCCCGCCGAGATCCACACCCATCCAATGCAGCAGACGCCCTTCAAAGAAACATCATGAGATACAGAGAAGATGTCATGCCCCTGGTGGAGACTGACTCTGAGGAAGAGGAGGAACAGCCGACAGGAAGTGGAAGTGTGGCTCCAGAGGTTGTGGAGGAGACTGGGGAAGGGCAGAGGCCGGCTGGGCAGTCAGAGGAAGACCCAGGCCCATCCCCTCTCCATCCTAGGGCACGCAAGGAGGAGAGGATAAGGGAGAGACGTGGTCTACTCTGGAGGAGAGGGCCTTGATCTTCTTGACGGGCTGCAGCTGTGACAACTGAATAAGAGTTTGGACCTGCGTACTGGCAAACGCTGGAAACAAAGCATGTTTTATTTTGGTTTGAGGTTATCCTGGTTGTCGTCCTTCCAACAGACTGTGCCTTGTTGTCTCCTTGAATTTGGTCAATGCTTCTCCTGTTCCGTTGTGGAAATTTCATCATCGTCGTTTGTTTGGTTTTTATTTTCACCTCCATCTGCTCATTAAATATGGACTGTATTGCTTTCTTTTGAAGACTATTCAGTACGTTTTATCTCCAGCTGAGAATTATTGAACAGTGGGGGCCAAGTTGGAGGCCTTAAAGGACATTTATTTACGTTTTGGATTTTGTGACGTTTGTGTTACGCAGAAGAACTCATGAGCTGTTCTGACTCAGCTCCCCAAACACGACAAACCCTCGGAAGTGAATTCAAAGATTCCTTTAATTAGGAGCGCCAGCAGCCTTGGCAAAAAGTTTCTCACCGCAGGCTAACAAGGCTGGCTGGCCAGAAGAGGAATAGTTATCTGCCACATCTATTCATTTCTGCCCCCTGCCTTTTATCCCCAGGGCTAGGGTGGGGCCTCGCTAGCTCTTCCGTCCCAAGGACTGGCCCATAGATTTCCACTGCTCTCCTCTCCTCTGCCTTCTGTACATCTGTGCGGCTAGGGTGGGGCTTCACTAGCAGCCGTGGCTCTTCCATCCTAAGGACCGGCCCCTATAGTTCCACTGCTCTCCTCTCCTCTGCCTTCGGTGCATCCGCGCATTAGGCACTGGACCCTGCTGTTCCTCCTCTTCCTCATCAGCCACCTCCAGACCTGGGAGCTTTTGACTCTCCATTTGAGGGCTGATGGACGGCTCAGGCTCCACCTCAGTTTCTCTCTCTCTGCCAGCTCCATTCCCTCTTCCCCCTGGGAGCTCCTAGGTTGCCCTGATGTTGACCCTGACCCCCACACCTCCTCCTCCTTCGATTCAGCTGCTGGAGGGGCTGGTGGCCGACAGGCCATAACATGAACATTCACAGGGCCTTGCATAGGAAAGTCCAAGCAGGGAGAAGCAATAAAATCGTGGACTTGGGGATGAGCACCTCAGAGGCCCACTGGTATTACCTTGTCAATGGTGGCCTCCTCTGTGACATCATAGACCATGCACACCACGTTGGCCTGCAAGGGAGAAAAGTGGGAGAGAGCTCAAGCAAACACATGGAATTCTCCATCTCAAAGCTCTTATCCGGGTTATTTTTTCGTTGCAAAAGAACTCGCAGCCCAATGTTGGGTTTCACACCATCAACAAGAGCCAACTATATAGTCCGATGCCAACGCTCTCGTGAGTTGGCACATTTCAACCATGCCCTCCCATCTATGAATACCAGCATGGCAAAGAGATAGTTCTTCAGAGTATAGAAAGAAAGATGACCTTGAAAGAAATATCCAGAACTGTGAGATAACACCTGGAAGATGCTTGAGCAATTTCCTCCCTGATTCCTATGGAATGCAAGAAGGAAAAGGGGCACGGAACAATCAAACTTGCAAGATCTTGTTACGTTGCCCATCTCAATAAAGGCTAGTTTCAGCCTCCCTCTGGAGTTCAATTCTTGGCCTGGTCCATCTAGTGGGGCTTAAACCGAGATCTTACTCCCTAATATGCTGGTTCTCAGAATAACAGCATTAGAAGGGAGCTTGGAGGTCTTCTAGCCCAACCCCCTGCCCCCAACTCAACTCAGGAAACCTTATACCATTTTGGTCAAGTGGTTGTCCAACCTCTTCTTAAAAACCTCAAGTGATGAAGCCCCTACAACTTCTGGAGGCAAGTTGTTCCACTGGTTTATTGTTTTCACTGTCCGGAAATGTCGTTGCTTTTCTATCCTTTGCTTCTTCTCCTGCCTTCGGAATATAGGCCCGAGTCCCTCTTTCTTTTTCTCCCTAGGCAGGGAGCTATGTCCCTCTTTGCAACTGAATGTTCATTGTGCCTTATGACATCGCTTGGGGCTTCCCACGGCAACACAACTGTATATATGGCAACCCTGCTGAAAGCTAAGCGATCCATGCTGTCCGCAAGGAGGTAGGAACTTCTGGCCTTCTCCTCCCCCAAGTTTTCTCCTGTTTGGTTCTCTCTTCAGCTGGTAGGTTAAACTCTCACAGTGCTACTTACCGACAGGCATGAATGAAGTGAAGATAAAAGGGATCCCATGAGGCTTTGGGTGGGATTTGGGGACAGTTTTGGTGTCCAAGTTCAGGAAGGCAAAGAGAGGAAGGGGAGGGCCCCTCCAGACCTTAGGCTCACCTTGGAAATCTCTTCTTGGAGCTCTTCTTCCGTCTGTTCGGCTTCTGAAAGGAGAAACAAAATGAGCCACGGTGCCATAGTGGTTAGAACACAGTACTGCAGGTTACTTCTGCTGACTGCTGGCTGACTCCAAATTGGCAGTTTGAATCCCACCAGGCTCAAGGCTGACTCAGCCTTCCATCCTTCCGAGGCAGATAAAATGAGGACCCAGATTGTTGGGGGAAAGGGGCTGACTCTGTAAAACACTTAGAAAGCGCTGGAAAACACCACGAAGCAGTATATAAGTCTAGTCCTCTTGCTAATACTGTAGTTGATTGGATGTTGCATTAGGAGCCCTGGTGGCGCAGTGGTTAGAATGTGGTATTGCAGGCTGACTCTGCCCACAGTCTGGAGTTCAATCCTGACTGATTCAAGGTTGACTCAGACTTCCATCCTTCCGAGGTGGGTAAAATGAGGACCCAGATTGTTGTGGGCAAGAGGCTGACTCTGTAAACCGCTTAGAGAGGGCTGGAAAGCAGTATATAAGTCTTAGCACTATTGCTCTTGCTATATGGCTCTGCACTCTTTCAGACATATGCAAAGTGAGAAGCATAAACAGGATGTTAAAGCCCCATCTATTGCTCAGAGAAAGAACGAATTATTGCAGGACCCTCACTTTAAGGCAGGGGTCTCCAATCTTGGCAACTTTTAAGATTTGCGGAGTTGAGAGTTCTGGGAGTTGAAGTCCACAAATGTTAAAGTTGCCAAGGTTGGAGACCCCAGCTTTAAGGTATGGTACAGTATGGTAGAGAGCCAGTTTGGTCTAGTGGTTAAGGCACCAGCCTAGAAAGCAGGAACCTGTGAGTTCTAGTCCCACCTTAGACATGAAAACCACTGGGTGACTTTAGGACAACCGCTAGGAGACTGTGAATTCAAGTCCTGCCTTAGCCATGAAAGGTAGCTGAGTGACTTTAGATCAATCACGAGGAGACTGTGAGTTTTAGTCCTGCTGTAGACATGAAAACCGCTGGGTGACTTTAGGCTAACCATGAGGAGACTGTGAGTTCTAGTCCTGCCTTAGCCATGAAAGGCAGCTGGGTCACTTTAGGACAACCGCCAGGAGACTGTGAGTTCAAGTCCTGCCTTAGCCATGAAAGGCAGCTGGGTGACTTTGGGCCAGTCACTCTCTCTCAACTCAACTGACCTTACAATGTGGTTCTTGTGGGGAAAATAGGAAGAGTGTTGGCGCGTCGTGGATATGTTCGCCACCTTGAGGTATTTGTAAAAAAAATAATAAAGGCAGGATACAAATAAAATAAACAAATATAAGATTGTGCGAATACAGAGGGGAAGGAAAAAAAACCATTCCAACCTTTTCAACTCACACGTATCATAGCAAACATGATGTTTGTCTACTTCCAGGTGGCCCCAGTTTGGTGCGTACTCCTGGCTTCTTATCCATAAATTGACCTGCCGTTTATACCCGTGACCTACCTGAATAGTCTACAATGTGGGTAGGGATTTTCTCAGGGGTGACGTCTGCAGGGATGATGATCTCTTCGGCCCGAGGTGGAACCTGGGGAGAAAAGGGTTTATCTCGGGCATAACTCAGATGATATAAAGGCTTGTCTGAATTTATCTGGGTACTGTGTTCTGACCTCGGCTTCACAAAATCACGAAGCAGACTCCTCTTCCTGACAAAACCCCTTTTTATTAGGCTAATGTGAATTCCTATCATTCACATCCAGCAAAGTCCCAGCAAACAGTCTTTTAAGAAGGAATTGCAACCACAGATTTATCAGGCTTGGAGAGTTGCCAGGTTGATAACTTCCAAGTGCAATGCTGTACAAAAAAATACCTGGCAAGGAGTCACGAACAAATCTTCATCCTAATTAAATGAACTAATTGTCTCCTGGAAACCTGCTCCTCCCCAACCTCCTCACTGTCCGAATCTGGCCATAACAGGGTCTTCCCTCATGTATAGACTTTAGATTTAAAAACAGTTGACAAAGCAAAGACCACCATCCTGTTCTGACCCAAATCCTTTTCCAATAAAACAAACAATAATCAAACAGGAACCTTTTAATGAGTCTTACGAATCCCCGGTTAAACTAATTAACTTTGATAAGCACAAACCTTGCTAAAACTGTGCAAGACTGCCAAGAATCACAGATAATGAATATTTCACAACCCGTCTTCCAATACCAACTTAAGATACTGTAATGTCCACGAGGCTGAGTTTCAAAACGTCTTTGGTTCCTGCAAAGAACATTTGCTTCACAGCTGCCTTTTACCTTCTTGAAGGAGGGCCCATTACCTTGCAGCCTTACTCTTGAGTTGCCCGTGCTGTTGTAACTGCTCTTTCCTACGAGCAATCCTGCGTGCACGCGCACTTGGCACAGGCTCCTCAGGAACCTCCTCATCGCTGCTGCCAGCCCCCACAACCTCTGAAGGCAGCAGTCCACTCCCTAATGGTCCTGGCCCCTCATCTGAGACCTCGCTCTCCTCAGCCGTCCGCACCTGCTGCCGGCTAACCACAACACATCCAAGGCTATTACCATCCGGCAAGGTTTCTTCTTTCTTTGCTTGTATGTCATAGTGTACTTTTTGGTTGTCCTGCTTATATATCTCTATGGGAAAGCTTTAATGGTACGAAGATAAAACTAAGAATAAGAAAAATCAGGCAGAATAAGAATAACAGCAACCTGCACTCACCTCTTCAGGGAATTCCTCACCCACCAGAGCCATGATCAAGGATGTTTTCCCCACTTGGGCTATAAGAGAGAGAAGCAATAGAGTTAGAGGTAGTCTTCGAGTTACGACCATTCATTTAGTGACTGTTCGAAGTTACAACAAACACCGGGGGGGGGAAAAATGACCATTTTTCACGCTTACAACCACTGAAGCATCCCCAGGGCCAGGTCATCAAAATTCGGATGCTTGGCAAACTGGCATGTACTTATGACGGTTGCAATGTCCTGGGGGGAGTCACGTGATCCCCTTTTGCGACCTTCTGACATGCAAAGTCAATGGGGGGGGAAGCCAAATTCACTTCATTAAGTTACTACTCATTTAATAACTGGCGTGATTCACTTAACAACGGTGGCAAAGGTAGATTGTAAAATGGGCAAAACTCCCAATAAGGGTCTTACTTGGCAATGGAAATTTTGGGCTCCCTATGCAGGTAGTATATTCAGGTAGTCCTGGACTTACGACCCACAACTGAGCCCCAAATTTATGTTGCTAAGCGAAACATTCGTAAAGTGAGTTTTGCCCCATTTTATGACCTTGTTTGCCACCCTTGTTCAATGAAAACCGCCCAGTAATTGATAAGTTTGTAACCCAGTTGTTAAGTGAATCAGATTTTCCCACTGACTTGGCTTGTCAGAAAGTCGCAAAAGGGAATCATGTAACCCCAGGAAGACGCTGCCACCGTCATAACTATGAATCAGTTGCCAATCATTTGAATGTTGATCACGTGACTTCAAGGATGCTGCAATGTTGTAAGTGTGAAAAAATGGTCCTAAGTCCCCTTTTGTGATGACCTGGGGCGTGACACAAAAATAACCAAGTCACAAAAATAGAATAAAGTTCCTTTAATGCCTCTAACTTGGCCCCAATGTCCAATTATCCTCAGCTGGAAATCAAACTCTTAAAGAAAACAGTTTACAAAGGGAGTAAACGCAGTCTGCACCCAAAGTAAAGTTAATTCAAAATAAAAATCCCAACACAATCCACACTGAAGGAATTACTACGGCAGGCAAGGATGATTAATTGCAGACTTCTACCAGATAACGCAGCCACCCCATTTGGGAAGAAGCCAAAACACAGATAATCTCCGACAAGAATAAAACACGCTTTGTTTCCAGCATTGGCCCATGCACAGTTTGTCCTTATAAACAGACATCACAGCTGCAGCCCATGAAGGGGATCAGGACCCCTTCCTCACCCGCAGACCACGCCATTCACGTTTCTCCCTTATTCTCTCCTCCTTGCGTGCCCCAGGATGAAGAGGGGATGGGCCTGGGTCTTCCTCTGACTGCCCAGCCGGCCTGGGCCCTTCCCCAGCTTCCTCCACAACCTCTGGAGCCACACTTCCACTCCCTGTTGGCTGTTCCTCCTCTCCCTCGGAGTCCGACTCCAACAGAGGCGTGACAGCTTTTTTCCAGCACCATTGTAACTTTGAACACTCACTAAATGAACACTTGTAAGTCCAGGACTACATGTATTGATCAAGGGTTGCGAGGATTGGAGCATCTCTTATTAACCTCAAAACTTCAACCTTTGGCAGTACCAGAACAGTATAATAAACGGAATACATACTTAATTGTGCACGTAGTAACGGCACCAAGTATAGTGTTTGCACAACCATGGAAAAATGACGAGGTCCTGACAGATGAAAGTGTAATAAAAAAAATTAGAATGTGCTGAGATGGCTAGATCGACACAAGATAAAAGAAAAGGAAGAAACAGAATATTTTTTTTAACATGGGATTTATTCTATCAATAATTAACTAACAGAAGCAGAGGTTGGAAACTAAACAGAATTTAAAAAGGTAATTAGAATTTGTACTGAAAATTTTGCAAAGTGGATAAAGTAATTATTATGTTGTTTTTAATATTGATATGTTTATTAAGATTACTAGCATGATTTTTGGTTATTGTTGTATTTTTACTTAAAATTAATTGTGCCCAGACAACACGCTGTTCAGATAGACATGGAATTTTTTAATGTACTTTAAAAGGAAAATGTACCAATAAAACATATATTCCCCACCCAAAAAACTACCTTCAACCTTTGACTGAAAACTGCTAGTGAACATCCTGGGTCTATCCATATTCAGCCATCTCACGCTTGAACGTCACAATATTTACACATGGTCACTGGCTCTGATTCCAAAATGCAGTTTGTTTGCTTCTGGCTACAATGAACAGTTTTGGATCACGTCCACCAACCTAAGATATTATGGACCACGGTAAAAGGATTATGGGAATTAATCTGCAACACCCTGGTTTGCTTATCTCCGTTGCCAGAACACCCACCAAGGGTTCCCGAGTCAGAAGTTTGCGCTGTCTAGTTTAACCCCGTGCTACGTCCAGAAGGGAGTTGAAGCTCACATACTAATGAGAAGAGAGGGATGAGACCCTCTCATCTTGGAGAAGACCCCGATGTTGGGAAAGATGGGAGGAGAAAGGAGAAGGGGATGGCAGAGAATGAGATTAAATGGGGTCATTGATGCAACAAACATGAGTTTGGGCAAACTCTGAGAGACAGCGGAGGAGGACATGGGGCCTGGTCTGCTGTTGGTCCACAGGGCCATGAAGAGATGGACATGACTTAGTGACTGAACACCAACATGAGCCATGGTGGCGCAGTGGTTAGAGTGCAGTACTGCAGGGCTACTTCTGCTGACTGACGGCTGACTGCAATTTGGCAGTTCGAATCTCACCAGGCTCAAGGTTGATTCAGCCTTCCATCCTTCTGAGGTGGGGAAAATGAGGACCCAGATTGTTGGGGGAAAATAGGCTGACTTTGTAAACCACTTCGAGGGCTGTAAAGCAGTATATAAGTCTAAGTGCTATTGCTATTGCTCTTCCTTTTCTCCTTCCTCCTTCCTTCCTTCCTTCCTTCCTTCCTTCCTTTCCATCCATCCATCCATCCATCCATCCATCCATTGTGCAGTGGTTAGATTGCAATATTGCAGGCTGACTCTGCCCACTGCCAGCAGTTCGGTCCTGACCAGCTCAAGGTTGACACAGCCTTCCATCCTTCCGAAGTGGGTAAAATGAGGACCCAGATTGTTGGAGGAAAATAGGCTGACTCTGTAAACCACTTAGAGGGGGCTGTAAAAGCACTGGAAAGCAGTATGTAAGTCTAACTGCTATTGTTATGTCCTGAATTATCCACATACAATCCAGGTCTCATGCTTCCCTTGCTGGATTATTTTGGGGGAAGATCTCTCCCCAGCAAGGCACTTAAGATAGAAATAGACAAGCTGATCTTCTCCAGATGTTTCGAGCTTCACCACTCATCGTGTTCCAGCCAAAAGGCAAATCATTAATTGCCAGTAATGATCAGAGCTAGAGTTTGAAGCTCCTTAGGGAGTACCCACCTCGTTCTAAAACGATCTGTTTGCTCAGAGAAAGGTATTTTTCTGAGGCTGGATCTGGAAGGGCATGAAACAAAGTGTTTGTCACAGTAAGCTTCTCTATGGGAGAGCTATCAAGTTCCCGAGAGAAGCTCAATAAAGTCAGCCATTTAAAAGAAAAAGGGGACAACATTGGTGCATCAGCAAGCCTCGGGGGAAAGATTTCAGCTTTTATTTGTGGAGTGGTTTCAGGACATTGTCCAAAAAAAAAGAGAGAGAGAGAGAGAGAGAGAGACAATAGCCCAGTTTTGTATCTGAGACACTACTTTGTAAGTTGAACAAATATCTGATGGATTGGCTTTAACATGAAGACTGCAAGTTGAACAATTCTTTGGTGAAGATTCAGGCTGTTAAATGGTCAACTGGGGCTCTGCAGTACTACTTCAGCCTTCATTCAGAAAAGGTCCTATTAATTAAAAAAAAAAAAAAGTGGCTTAAGAAGAGTTGCAACCAGGTTAACAATGGTACCCTAGCGTACTATGAAGTAAGCCTTGTTATAAAGCTCCCAGAGTGAATGGCTTTCTTAGAAGAAATAAAAGGAAAAACAGAAGCTTTCTCTCTCTCTCTCTCTCTCTCCCTCCTAAGAAAAGAAAAGAAAAGAAAAGCAGGAAATGCTTTTGCTCTCTGGCACTCATTCGGTCCCACCCTGATTTCACTCCTAGATACCATATTTTTAATCCCTTCCTGAAATGAACGCTACGATTCTGTCCTGGATTACGGAGTTCCATCTGCAGCTCCAAGTCTGCAGAATGTTTTTGGTTTTTTTTGCTTGGACATTCTGTCTTTGCTCAAGAAGTTCCTCTCCTCCACATCTTTATTTTAAAACCCACAAACAAGCCCGAGAAATACATTGGGGGAAAGTGAAAAGCAGCGATTTTATGAGCCTGCCAGGTTCGCTGGGTTGAACTGGCCTTTTTCTACTCAAAAGACGAGCATTATACTGTATACGCTATATCAGGGGGGAATGGGAGCTGGCACAGGGTTTATTGGCCGGATGCCCTTCCTGTCGCCAATGCGGAGTTTTGTTCAGCAGATATATTCTCAGTGTGCCCAGAGAGAGAAAAATATCTGCCTCTACCCAGGATTGAACTCACAGCCTCCTGACTGTGAGGCGAGAGTTCCACCTCTAGGCTACTGCACCACTCACTCATACTTTACATAGACTGGGCAAAAATAGTTACTGAAAAATACTGGTATCCGGCCAGTAAACACTCAGCTCCATTCAGTTGCCCAAACTCCACCCGCAAGGGATTATTATTCCTTCCTTCCTTCCTTCCTTCCTTCCTTCCTTCCATCCATCCATCCATCCATCCATCCATCCATCCAGCACAGTGGTTAAAATGCAGTATTGCAGACTAATTCACTGCCAGCAGTTCAATCCTGACCGGCTCAAGGTTGACTCCGCCTTCCATCCCGAGGTGGGTAAAATAAGGAGCCAGATTTTTGGGGGCAAAATGCTGACTTTGTAAACCACTTAGAGAGGACTGTAAAAGCACTGTGAAGCTGTATATACGTCTTAAGTGCTATTGTTATCTATCTATCTATCTATCTATCTATCTATCTATCTATCTATCTATC